CCACTGAACCGATGACCAGAGCAGACGGTGTGACGAGGGCGATACTGCAAGTTACAAAATTGATAAACCCAAAATGAATATCGGCTGACCGAACGACGGTATGCACATGCCCGTGGATCGAAATGAAAACATAATTTTATTTGGGAGAAATCCAGTATTAAGCATCTGATGCTAATGTACGGTGCACAATTTTTCAAAAGATTGATCGGCAATATAACAACGGAAAGCGACGTGAAACTCTAAATACGGTAACCGATAAAACCAAGGCACTACTGTACGATGTGGGGCATGTTTGCAGGTTGCGAGTAGGAGAATATATCTGACACTACAGTCAACTAAAAATAATACGTTACAACTGGTCGTAGTGTGTAGTCAGCCTTGAAGAAAACTACAACAGCACCTAAGTAAACTTTCTTCTCCATACTGATCCTCTAGCTTTTATCAAACGCCGCATGAGGTGAAGTAACTGGGCTTGATAGGGCGAAGCGACCAATCAAAGGGCTGCCATAAAACACATAATAGGAAAAGACAGACAACGGTGATGGGATTCGAACACACGTCCTCCGGGGTGCTCATTGATAACGTTACCACCCGCCCAGGCTTCGTTTTGTCCCGGCATCTGAGATAGGGATAGGGAGGTGGAGTGGTGACTGCTTGCGGAGCTGAGTGCAGTGTAACGCTTCAGGATAAACGTGAAGATAACGTCAGTTGCTACAGGTTCTAGTACTCTGAATCCTGTCGGGGAGCGCAATGAGTCAATAGGCGATATAATTGCATACACTCATCATATTTGCCCCGAATACGTGCTGTATGTGTAAATACCTTGTTAAGCTAAATCTCACTCGGGTCTGCATACTGTTCCACATTGTGAGTGGTACTGCATTCACTTAAAGGATGTGACAAGAGGTCCTTGTTTATTCGGTTGATACCTTACTCATGAGCTAAACGTGCAAGATTAGATGTTTAGTTCAACCGCTGATGTATTTATTGACTCAGCCTGGCTGGTTTGTCTATTGTCCTTGAGACATGCTTTTCCATGGCAGTGGGTTGTACTATTCAACTGGGACTTTTATAAAATTTAGGAGTTTGGGTTATAAGCACGTAAGCTCTGCGCTGAGCACGGTCGATAACTTCCCTCAAAACAACACTATAATCACAAAGCTGATTTTTTATATAAATATGATCGATTTGGCGCTGTTGTTTCCTCTCGGTTCTCATGGGCAACTGAACAAACTGATTTGAGTATATCCCAACATCAAATTTTCTGTCACATTCAGCACACCACTTACTACCTTTTAAGACTTTGAATCAAACGTCGCGGTCCTAGAAATATAGCACTTTTCACATTTCTGCACAGGGAAACATTTAAAAGCCTTGAATGTAGATATCTCCTCAACGTAGCTTAAATGCACATCCCACTAGAACGGGGACGCGTAAAAAAACACGAACAGTTCGGAATTAAGTAAAATGGAAAAAATCGAGCGAAGGGATGCTTTCTAAGGGACGAAACGTGAGCATCAGAGCAGGAAATCATAACTCACCAATCACTGTAAAACGCCCCATTCAAGGGAGTCATATAATTCACCTCCTTCAAGTTCAAATTGGCAAACACTAGTTTGTTTTTCATCGAGTAGATCACGCACGGATGATTGGAGCAGACAAACACATTCACTTTGCTCTGTGAACGCCACTGTTTGAGGAACATCGAAGGTCCGGTACCGGCATTCATCCGCTTCGCTTCGCGTAGGCACATACGACCTGAACAAACAATCAATCGATAATTTTATGAGCAAAAAACAGCATCGGTTTTGTGTACAATGGCGTGACACGGACAAAGTAAGACTCAAAGTGGATAGCGGAAATGCGAATAAGTGAAGTAAATCAACCCGAGTTCAGATAATTTGAGATTAATCAAACAGAAACCTAACAAACAATTTGGATGGTGGTGGTGCAGTGGTTTAGTCGCTATCACCGGCGTGCTTTGAAGTCTCTAGTACGCGGTTCGAGCCCTGCCACAGTCAATGACCTTTGGTGGTAGGCAGCTTTGCTGTCGTCCGGTTCAATACCACGCCTAACCTAGCGGGGCCTTATGTGGTTCGCCATTCCAACTCCTTGGGTTTATGTCAACGGTTTCTACCACTAAAAACAGCAGGTCTTCGTGACTATGGGGTTCGCCTTGTTTGCTGTTCACCACATAAGTGCAAAAAACAAATATAAAAATGGTGAGGGAACATTGACTAATGTCTATTGGATTTGCTGTTCACGAAACATCCGGGGTAAGAGCCGCGCAGTGGAAAATACCGGTCTTCAAGATGTGCAATTCATAAAGATGAACCATGTGACTCGGAAAAAAATATGAGATCCTTGAGGATTGAACAAGAAACAAGGAAATCAAAAAATCCCTACATGCAATACATTAGAAGCATCGAGGAGTCATAATTCCGGGGGGACATGTCAGAACGTCATCAACGGTTGCGATTAGAATGGCAATAACTTCATTATGTTTTTGAACCGTTTCCCTGGTTTCAATCGACAGACATGCGACCGCCTTTGGAATCCAAAGTTAAATGGGGACAAAAAAGGCTCGAACATTTGTATGGATTAGCAACAGAACTGGTTAAAGGACTCTGCTTCAAGACCTTTGCTGAATCGCAGTAACTGGCGAGACTGTATTGATCTCAGAATCGCGTACCATATATTGTATAAACCTAAACGTATGCGTTGTACTCCAGGAAAATGATCCACAATTGACGATTTTATAGGATGCTCTTCAAACTGTTCATCAGTCGAGTAGATTTACGGGTGCCCTTTCGACGTCATACAACGTAGCTCAAAAATGGTGGTTGAAAGAACGGAACCGAAGTTTCAGTCACATAAGCTGAAATTCCATTTTGCCTGTTCGCCGAGCTTGGCAATTTGTTTGCAAACGTTTCATCACCAGCCGAGGTGACATCACCAGTGCTTGTGAAGTGGCGGTGTTTTGTCTGTAACCGTTCGTTTATATGTGTTCTTCTCCACCGGCTATTTTCGTCCCCTGTTCTCACTCGGTCCGCTGTTGAACTGTTGCGAGCGGGTGGGGGTAGGAGGGGAGGAAGTTGTCCTTTCGTCCCGATTGCGGTTTCCGTTCGTTCTCAGGTCACGGCGTGACCTTTGTCGCGTCATTTGGTCCTTCAGTTGCATTGGCGTGTACACGTGATCCAGTTCGATGTGCCTGTTTATTGAGTTGGTTGAAGAGTGCCAGGCCTCGAGAAATTCTCTGGCGTGTTTTGACCGGGCTTGGTCGATAATTCTCACTGATTCGAAATCAAATTGATGTCCTTCTTGATCTTCGTGGAGGGAAATCAAGGATAGTGGGTCATGCCTCCTGACTGCCGATTGGTGTTCACAGATCCTTGTTGACAGTTTTCTCCCAGTTTGTCCGATATAGTGTTTTGAACAGTTCTTGCAGGTTATTTTGTAG